CTTGCTAAAGACAGATGCCAAGAGGCCCTGCTTCCTGCCCAAAAAGAGAAATAGAAAGCACCTGTCAGATTGTGGCCCCCTGTGGGAAATGACAATGTATTAGTCAGGGTCCTCCAGAGAAACGGAACTAAGAAGAAATATACAGGTACATATGAGTGGATTTATGACAGGAATTGGGTCCCTTGTTATGGAGGCCAAGAAGACCCACAGTCTGCTGTCTTCAAGCTGGAGACCGAGAAAAGCCGGTGGTGTGATTCAGTCTGAGGCTGAAGGCCCGAGAATCAGGGTGGGGGGCCAATAGTGGAAAGCCCAGTCTGCATCTAAAAGCTCAAGGACCTGGAGCACCAATGTCCAAGAACAGAAGATAGATGTCAGCTCCAGCAAAGACTGTGAATTTACCCTTCCTCTGCCTCTCTGTTCTATTCCGGCCCTCACCAGATCAGAAGATGCCCACCCACAGTAAGGAAGAGGCTCTTATTCAGTCTCCAGATTCAAATGCTAATCTCTTCCAGAAACACCCTCACAGACACCGCCAGAAATAATATTTCACCAGCTATCTGGGCATCCCTTTGCCCAGTCAGGTTGACACAAAATTAATCATCGCAGAAACTATCTGGGTGTCCACACCCAAGCTTTAGTCTTCCGTGGTGGCACAGAGCAGTGGACCCAGCTGTGCCTTGCCAGTACTACCTGGGAAGTCTTAAAGAATCTCTATATCTAGGCCACACCTCAGACCGATTAAATTGGAATTTCTGGGGTGGGAGCCAGGCAGCAGAGTTTCTGGAAGAACCCTGAGCAATTCCAGCATGCAGCCAAGATGGAGAACTGTCGCAAAGCGATCAGGAGATCAGAAAACCCTTTTACCATCCCTCAAGAAGCCAACATTAAGGCCACCTGCATTTACCACTGCCCTGCCCTGCCATGGGGCCACTCTCTTCATTTCTCACATGAGGGACCTAGGAGCCTCTCCCCAGCCCTTTTGACGGTTTGTCCCCGGCTCTCCATGTCCCCTGTCCTCATGCACAGGCCCTGACACAGGCTGCTGTGGAACTGCACTGCTGATGGTTCTCTGTTTGCTAGTCTATCTCCTCAGCAGTGGGGCCACACCTCCCACACCTCTTCATTCCATCCTGGAGCTAACTTATCATTACGACGTGATTCTTCAGTTAACTGCACAGCAACTATAATGAGCTTGTAAAAACATAAATACTGGGGTACTGGGTGGCTCAGTTGATTAAACGTCCAACTTCAGCTCAGGTCATGATCTGGTGTTTCATGAGTTCAAGCCCCGCATGGGGCTCTGTGCTGACAGCTCAGAGCCTGGAGCCTGCTTCAGATTCTGTGTCTCCCTCTCTCTCTCTGTGCCTCCCCAACTCTCTCTCTCAAAAATAAATAAATATTTTAAAACTATACCACTCACCTGAATAAAACCCTCCAGTGACTTCTCACTGTGCTTACAGTAAACCCCAGCCCTCTTCTGGCTTGCAAACCCTGTGCAGGCTGCCCCTGCCCACCTCAGGCAGGAGGGTGGGGAGTAAGGACATGAACTCTGCAAGCAAGCATCACAGGGCCAAGTCCTGGTGCCACGGGCTGCTCCCCTCTGAAGAAGTTACTGCACCTCTCTGGACCTCATCTCTAAAAGCAGATATGTTGTGAGGATTATGTTAGCTGCTGGCACACGGTCTAACAGGGCCCTGGAATCCTCCTCCTCACTCTGTCCCAGCTTCACTTAGTCCCAGGAACTGGCCACACCTGCTTTCCCCCTGGGAGCGCTGTGCAGTAATGATTTCCGGACACCTGGTGTGACTGGCTCTCTGCATCACCCAAGAACCAATGCCATGGCTACACAGAGCCTCTCTCAGCCCTTTGGCAGCCTGTTTTGTGTCCTTCATGAGCCGTGGTAGTGTGCTAAGCTGCTATAACAAAGCACCACAAACGAGGTGTCTAATGCTTATTTTTGAGAGAGACAGACAGAACATGGGGCAAGGAGGGGCAGAGAGAGAGAGAGAAATCTGAAGCAGGCTCCAGGCTGTCACCAGAGAGCCCAATGTGGGGCTCGAACTCATGAATCGTGAGCATAACCTGAGCCACAGGGGGACACTTAACCAACTGAGCCACCCAGGTGCCCCCAAACTAGGTGTCTTAAAAACAGAAACATATTGACTCCCAGTTCTGGAAGCTGGAAGCCTGCGATAAAGGGGCAGCACGGTTGGTTACTTCCGTGAGGAGGATGCACATTCCGTGGCTTTCTCCCAGCTTCTTGTGGTTTGCCAGCAAATCCTTGGGTTCCTTTGCTTTTTTTTAGACACACCACTCTGGCCTCTGCTTTCATCTTCACACCTCATTCTCTTTGTGTCCAAATTTCCTCTTTCTACAAGGACACCAGTCACAGTAGATTAAGTGCTCACCCTATTCCAGATGACCTCATCTTAACTGAGCACATCTATAACAACTATTTCCAAATATGGGTGCATTCTGAGGCTCTTGGGGTTAAGGCTTCAACATACAGATTTTGGGGAAACACAAGTCAGCACATAAAATATCTATTCCTCATCCCTCTCTGGAATGATCAGGTTTTATTTGTCGTCCTGTGTGTCATATTATATTCTTTCTTCACTGAACATCATTGTTTATGTTGTCCGAATTTTCTGCAATAGAATAATACTGAAAATAATAAAAGATAGGCTTTCCAGAAAAGAAGCAAAAGCAAAGCTTATTTTGCATTGTGATTTATGAGTTCATCACTTCCCATACTAGATTGGAAGGTCCGTGGGAGAAGAAACCTTGTCTTTGTACCCACCTCCCAGCCTAAGACAGTGCCTGGCACATAACAAATGCTTGGTACATGCTAACCGAGTTGAAATTAAATAGATACGGACATTGAGTTCCCACAAGAGCTCAAGTGAAGCAATTGTTCTTGCAGTCTTGCTGGTATATACGTGACACGTTTTCTCATAAATCTGGAAATCTTTAAAAAAGAAAAAATAACTGCTGACATTCTAGGCTTTGAAAAGACTCTGCCATATACAATGGTACTGTCCAAATGTAGTGATATTTAAGGTATTGTCAAGAATTAAAGCATGGCATGAAGCAACATTGTCAAATCTGGGAGGAAATTAAACCAGGAGATCCATCACCCAACCCCTGTGAACCAAACTGCCACATTTTGCCTGACTCTTCTAATTAGGTTGTGTTTGCAAAGCCTTTAGAAGCAGACAAGTGTTACATTAAGTGCTAAGCAGTATTAATTAATCATATTGGTAGATTATATGGGCTCATACTTCTCATAAACGTAAATGTCCTAGGCTCGGCAGCATAGCACTTGGAAGCAATGTTCAGCTATGCTCTAGAAGTTCTTTATGTAATTGTATAAAGTTCCTGGCTTCCAAAGAAAGTAGTTTCAAATCATCTCTGTATTCTCATTTGTCAAAACTTTGGAAACTGTCTAATATAATAGTTCTCAGCTCTATCAGGCCCAGTGCCTCTTTTCTGTAATAAAAATTTCTTATACCTCTCTTTAATATCCTGAAGGAAAATGCATGAAAACCCTGCCTATATATAACATATTTCGGTATGTAAACACTGTGGCAAGCACACCTTGGACTGTCAGATGTTTTCCCCATATGAAGAATCATTGTCAGGATGCCAGTTCCAAATGGCAGGCTGTTACAGGCATGCATGCGAGACGCAGTACCATGGGTGGTGCTGGAAGGTGGCCTTGAGCTTCTAAAGCAGTGAAGAATTCATTTTTGGTTCCAAACTAAAAAATTTACAATCATCCTTCCATTTACTCTATAGTTGCATTCCTGGAAAAGTCAATGTACTTGTATTTTAAAACCATCCCTGAAAACCCCCATATGTTGATATAAAGAGAATTAAGTTCGGGGTGTCTTGGTGGCTCAGTCAGTTGAGCATCTGACTTCAGCTCAGGTCACGATCTCCCAGTTCTTGAGTTCCGGCTCCACATCAGGCTCACACTTGCTGCTCTCAGCGCTGAGTCTGCTTCCACCATCTGTCCTCTCTCTCTGCCTCTCCCCTGCTTGTACTGTCTCAAAAAATAAATAAAAAGGTTTTTTAAAATTAGGTTTTAGGGTTAGATCCTCATACCCAGAATTTTCACCTACAAGAATGTCTGTGAGATCATTGAAAATCAGATGACACCATCCCACCCAGTTAGCATCACTGGGGTTCAGCCACCAAATGCAAGGAACACTTTCCCTTTCTCAATCTTCGAGAGCAAAAAAATGCTCAAAACATTTTCTTTTCATGTGAGAGCAAAGTTCCAAAAGAACTCCACAGGGTGGGACTGTCCCTCTTAAAAGTCATAAATCTAATTTTATATCCTTATATTTTTAAAAACTGAGGATGTTGTGTACCCAGCGAATATGTCCCAAAATCACAGACCAAGTCTTGACAGAGTCAGGTAAGAAGCACTTAAGAATTTGGACAAGTGAGCATTTTCCATGTGGCAGGCATTGTCTTAAGCTCTGTTTAGAGATTAATCTAATCTTCACATCAACACTAGGCAGGAGGCTTTAGTATCTCCATTATACAGTTGAAAGGGAAGCACAGAGAAGTGAGGTAACTTATCCAAGGTCCTACAGCAGTAAGTAGCAGAGCCCTGACTCAGACCATCTTCCTCAGAATGACTTGGGGACACAGTGCAAATGACAGACTGTTATTTAGGCCTGGAGGAGATACAAAAGGGGAAATGCACCCCTCCTGCATTATGAGTATACAACACAGACCAGTTCAACCAGTTCAGTATATTGACCTCCAACCATGCCTCCAAATGATGATTTGCTCCTGCTTGGTCTCATCTTCTCCTTTCTTGTGTTTTTCCTGCAGACATTCATGCCCAGGAGAAGACTGCTTTGGGTCCCTCTGGACCTTTCCTAAAAAGAAGATCCCTATTCACTAGATGAGTTGCAGAAGCATCCACTAAGGCTTCCATAGCTCTCTTCCATCAGCTGACCTTCGCCGTAACCCCCTCATACAAGATGAGTGGTTTCCTTGCCTCCCTGGACCCACGGCGGGTGCAGTGGGGGGCTGCCTGGTATGCCATGCATTCCAGGATCCTGCGCACCAAACCAGTGGAGTCCATGCTGGAGGGAACTGGGGCTACCACGACCCACGGCACCAAGCTAGCCAAGGTGCTCACCACCATGGACCTCATCTCCCTTGGTGTTGGCAGCTGTGTGGGCACGGGGATGTACGTGGTGTCTGGTCTGGTGGCCAAGGAAATGGCAGGACCTGGTGTCATTGTGTCCTTCATCATTGCAGCCGTTGCGTCCATATTATCAGGTAAGTGCCTCAGTATAGTGGAAGGTCTGCAGAAAGTGCACTTGCCAGTCTGTTACTGCTCATCCCGCTCTTCTAGAATATTCAATGGTGACATGCGTGAAGTGTCACCAAAGGGGTCATCAGACTCTTTTTTACCTTGACTGCCAGGGAGTTCAAGGCTCAATTGTAGTAGCTTCCTTTTTCTTTGATTTTTCTATACAAATAATTATTCTGGTGCCCAGCTTCCTCCCAACTTCTCTCTCCTTGTCAGGTCCTAATGGCTCCATTTTTATTATAACTCTCCCTTTCAGTGGAAGATAGGTCAATCCCTTGGTGGAGACGTGGATATAGCTAGGATTATAAATAATGCATAAAGGATAGGCAGAGTAGCAAAATGACAAGTCACTAAATCTGATATGATTGGGATTTGATGAGCCAATAACTGGCATTGTGACCCCCCAAGCAGGAGGAGAGCAAGCTAGGAAACATAAAGCCATCGTGGGAATCACAAGGCACCATCTGCCATAAGCACTTCAACAGACTGTATTCTACAGAGGTGGTTCGACGAGCACTACCTCTTCCCTTGAGAAAGGATCATAGAACTCATTTTTAAAATAAGGTGCCAGGAATTACATACTGATAATTTGTGAGATGGCTCTTCTCTTTTCCTTTTGCTCTGCTCTCACTGTCTCTTGAGCTGTGGTTCACAGTATCTTCCCAGGTAAACAGAGAACTTGAAAAAGAAGGAAACAGAACACTTCCTGCTTCCTGATCACCATACTGTGAAAGCCCGAGGCTTTGCTGGGTTTTTGGTGTGTGTGGGTCAACTCACATCCAGGCAGGGAATGTCATGGTCTCTTCCAAAGCTTCAGAAGCAAGAATGCTAGGGTACATCAGGATTTCTGTGTACAAATGCACACCATCACAAGAAAAGTTCTACATTCATATTGTATATCCAGACTAAATAGCCCTCATCCACAGGATCTGTATGGACCAGGAACCAGAAAGTGCACCAGTTTATATCTGACATCTTGTTAACTTAATGATGGAAATGTTTCCAGACTGATTTTATTTCTCTCCAGTCATGGCTTACTTCCCTGTTGATTTTACAATGATCGCTTTTCCTGAAGTTATTCTCTAATATGCATGAATCGCCTAATAATTGAGGTTCCTTCAGAAAAGAGAATTTTTTTTCGTATAGATGAAAATAAATTATTCACATGGATGAACTTTGCAGATACTTCAAATGCTATTAACCTGATTGCAATCATTTTCAAATGTATTTGGCCAAGAGATTTTTTGGAGGAGGGTGCCAGATTCTTATTCACCATTAAATTTAGAGATCTAGAAGTGTTTGCATACAGACCAAAATAGCAATAGTGGGACAAAAGGCAGACATATAACCAGGGCTCCCACCGAAGGCACAGGGCACATGGCTAAGAGTCCTACCTAGTTAATGCACACTGCCCTTTCTCCTCCTGATCCATCTTTTTATGGCCCCATCCCCCAAACCACAATGATTCCTGCTAACAAATCACCCACATCTTATTCTTCACAGCGCTACATTACATTTAGAAACCAGCACAAGGTTCAGTTGCATCCTGGAAAACTGCCCGCCTGCCAAGGTGCTCATGATGCTATATAACCCAGACTTTTCTGCTACTCATATGCAGGAGACGCGGCCAGCACTGTGTTGGAGCCAGCTTGCCCCCGGCTGCCAAGGTCACTAACTGTGCATTCTTCTCCCCACCTTTGCATTCAGCAAGGCCATGTTGTTAACCTGGAATTGGCTATGCAGGAGTATTTACACCACAAAAATGGGCAAATGCTCCAGATAAAGTTTGTTTGTTTAGGTTGGTTGTTTTCAGAGAGTCTGTTGCTAAACACTTCCCAGCACAATCCACTGAAGGCCGTGGAACTGCCCAGTAACTGGTGCCTTCATCACCGCACCAGGCACCAAAAGAAACCCTGCTTCTCCCCCAGTGACAGAACCCCCCTCCCCACATATGGCTGCATCCAAAAGACCTCTACACTTTGTGACTGGGGCCAGTCAGAATTCTCCTACAGCCCCCAGCTAGAGCCCGGGCCAAAATAACTTGTGCCAAAGTTAGTCTTTTTATAACAGAAGTCTTCAACCAGGCCTCTCATTCTGTGATCCTTTGTCACTAAACTCAAGGAAGTCCCCCTCTGCTGTCTTCTTTCCACTCCTGTATCATCATCCTTGTATTTCATCTCTCTTGACCAAAATTGCCACCACTTCTCTGCATCACGATAATCAAACTCCCTTCTACCTTTTTAACACATGCTCCTCCCTCCTTCTAACCTTAACCAAAACCTGGCTCAACTCTGAGGACACCACTGAAAGCATTGAGAAAGTGCACGAGAAGGATAGACGTGTGACCAAAGAGCGAGATGGTTGATGGTGAGATTTCAGAAGTGGTACAGTAATCAGCGATGTTAAGATTAAACTTGGAACCCAGCTCCCCCACTAACTGGCTGCAGGACCTTGTGCAAGTTCCATAACTCCTCTGAGCCTCATTTTCTCCACTTTGAAAGTGGTCATCATGATATCCCCTTCAGAGTTGCTGTAAAGATTAGTGACACCAGTGAGAGCCGGCTACAGTGTCTGGTACACAGCACTCAAGACATCGTTCTTCTCATTGTGTGTCAAATCCTGTATCCTGAGCATGCCACACATTATCACATTTGAGAGGCAGCATACCTCTTCAAGGTAGGTTTTATTACTTTTACATACTAGAAAGCTGAAATTTAAATAACAGAACCTAGATTCAAATTTGTTACACCAACAATATCTTTCAACACTGACTACAAATTTAAATCACCTGGGGAACTTATTTTTTCAAATCATGGTTTGGCAGAGAAAGGTTATGATTACATGCAGCAAAATGTATCCTTTTAAGTATACAACTCTAAGTTTGACTGACACATATAATTGTGTAACCTCCACCACAATCAAGATACAGAAGCATCCCATCATCCCCAAATAATTCCTTCATATTACCTTTTTGCAATGCTCCTCCCCTCCACCCCCAACCCCCGGCAACCACTAATCTGTTTTCTGTCCCTATCTTTTGCCTTTTCCAAGATGTCATATAAATGGAATCATTCAGTAAGTAACATTTTGAGTTCGTTTTCTTTCACTTAGTATGACACATTTAAGATTTATTCAGATTATATGTATCAGTGGGTCATTCCATTTTATTTTTGAGTAGTATCTCATTGTATGGATATACTGTAGTTTATTTGTCCATTTACTAGTTGAATGTTGACTTGGGTGGTTTCCAGTTGGGGCCATTATAAATATTTGTGCACAGGCTTTTGTGTGAACACAAGTTGTCAGTTCGCTTGAGTAAATACCTAGGGGTGGAAGTGTCAGATTGTGTGGGAGGTGTAGGTTTAACTTTATAATAAATGGCTCAACTCTCTTCCAAAGGGATTGTACTAGTTTTCTTTTCCACCAGCCATACCTTTGAGTTCCAGTTCCTCCATTCCTGGCCAGCTCTCAGAATTGTCAGGTGTTGCTTTGTGTTGTTGCTCCATTTGTTTGCCATCTTAAATGGTGTATAATGAGTCTCAGTGCGGTTTTCATTTGCACTTCCCTAACTGCTAATACTTTGCACACGTTTGAATGTGCTTATTCGCCATCTATTTTCTTTGGTGAAGTGTTCAAATCGTTTTCCCATTCTTTTAATTGGGCTCTTCATTTTCTCATTACTAACTTAAAATTTTTTCTAATATATTCTAGATACAAGTCCTTTATCAGATACATGATTTTGTGAATATTTTCTCCCAGTTTGTGGCTCATCTTTTAGCTTTCTCTTAATTTCTGTTTATTTCTTTATTAAAATGCCCAGGCTCCACCCCTAGAGATTCTCATTCAGGTAGACTGGGGTAGAACCTGGGGGATGGCATTTTTTTACAAGCCTCAGAGGATTCAAATGTGCAGCCAGAGTTAAGAATTAGTTAACTGTCATAGGGGCCAAAACTCAACTTCTGCTGCTATATGTTAAGATACAAGTTGGGGCGCCTGAGTGGCTCATTTGGTTAAGCATCCAACTACCGCTCAGGTCATGAACTTGCAGTTTGTGAATTCAAGCCCTGTATCAGGCTCTGTGCTGGACAGCTCAGAGCCTGGAACCTGCTTCAGATTCTGTGTCTCCCTTTCTCTCAGTTCCTTCCTGTCTCTCTCTCTCAAAAATAAATAAACATTAAAAAAATTTAAAAAGACATAAGTTATTTGGCCAGCAGATTCTTAAGCGATTTTCATGGCCCTATGGCATCATCGCGCATGCCATACAAAACAGCTTATAACATGAAGCAAATCTGACTAAGAGAGAAAGCCACTTCCTCTACAATTTCACAAGACCCATAGTTACAATAACCTCCAAGGTCCTCCTGCCAGTCATGCCCCAAGACCATAACCGCCCACAGCCTTATCACAGGTGGATGGAGTCTTATCAGAGGAAGCAGCTTGTGCTGTAACATTTACCCTTAGTCCATTGGGTCTTATCTACTCTTTAACAGTTCAGCAGGCCCCATGCCCATACCAGACCTATAAAACCCTTTGAATACACCAGATTAAATCAACCAGATAGAAGGAGAAATAGTTTTTCTTTATGATTCCCACCTACAACCTTATTGACAGACTCAGGGACGGATGGCTTACACAGGTTCCTAATTTGGCCACCATGCCAGTGACATCTGGCCACTCGAAGTCCTAAGAGCCTCCTATCAACTGAGTAAGGATGCCTGCTTTGGCTTTTCTTCCTAAGTTTATTTCCAGTTCTCTTTTAATATTATTAAAATTGAACCTTAAATAGAATGTAGATCTGAATGACTCCTAAGCTCATGTGGAGCCTACAATAACCCTTCAGGCTCATATCTCAACTGGTTTGGGTAGGGATTAAGTGACAGTGTGCATATACCACATCAGTCTCTAGTCTGATGCACTATGCCAGTAATTTTTATCATCTACCCCTAAGAAGTAGTTGACAAAAATC